ACACTGTATATAAACTGGAATTTTCAACAATTGACTTGAATAACATTAAATTATCCTGCCATCTTGTTGACAATGAACCTGCACTGATCTTCCCCCTTTTTCTGTGTGTGTTACAAGTATGTTTTTGTCTGTATTTGAGAGTTGTTCTTATCTTTTTTTGCTTGCTTTTATTGTGCTGGGACATGTTTCCTTCTATCGTGTGCAAACTTGAATTACTTTTTACCAATAAACAAACCTAACCTGTCGAGCTTAGTTTCTGTTTCCGTCAAGCTAAATATTAGCATTCACGCTAAACAGCATTTTGCTTCTTTTCCTCCTCGTTTTCGATACGATCCTCGTCGTCTTCTCCGAAAAACACTACCATTATTGTTCCAGAAGTGTTACAACCAAAATAGTTCATTTTATTTATTTATTTATTTATTTATTTATTTATTTATTTTCACACAAAGCCACCCACTTCCGCCAACAGAAGCAACCCGTCAAAATAAAAGCCGAAACACGACCATTTAGTGCAATGACTTAAGGTTTACACGTTGATTTATTTTGCCTCCTACATCACAAGGCCTCCACTGTGACTATTCTGCACACAAACATTGCAATGACAATGATCAAAAGATATATTGTGGAGCTCTAGCTTGTGGGCTGTTCCCCATGTAGAGTCTTAAAAGACCAGGAAAAGCCAAACAAAGAGCCGACTGTTCTCAGAACCAAGTCTCAGTTAAAATGGCAACGTGACTATTCTTGTGAAGACCTCACAACAGACCCTGCAGCCATTTCAAGATCCACAAGTGAGGAAAGCTTGAAGCTGTGTGCCTCTAATGTCTCACTGGGCTGTGAGTGCTGGCGACTTGCTGGTGAACAGCATTTACAAGGGAGTCTCCGAAAGGTGTCAAAATGTTGGCAGGGGCTTTCAGTGTTCTTTCACAAAATGCAGCCTTGTTGAATTTTAAACATGTTTAGGTTACAGTGAGTTTAAATAATAAAAATAAAAAAAATCTGACCAGAAAAGAACAAGCACATCATAGATACAATCTAGATATGTTTTCTTACTGATGCACGACAGCAGCTCATTGAACCGCTCCTTAGGGAAAAGAGGATTCTCCAGACCACGGAAGTACAGTTTGAGAACACCGGCCACCGAATTGATGTCATGATTGTTCGCATCATCTGCTAGAGGGTCGTTTCCTAAAACACAAACACATGCGCRCATCCTTAAGAACATATAAAAATTTACAGGATTTTATGTGAAAACTTAAATACAGTGGTTAGCGTTTCAAAAAGCCGCATGGTTCAAAGGGTTAATCTGTTGAATGAGCTTCTAATTGTACCATGTTGATTAAACAATTTAAAAAAAATCAAACATGTTTATACAGAATTCAGGAAAAAGTCAGAGAAGTGTACCTCTCTCAAATGAGTTCTTGATGTCATTCACCTCCAGCTGGGATCCAGAAACACGAAAGATTCCTTGATGCTGGAGGCCTTTAGAAATACAAATAATAATAAAAAAGGAAAAGTCAGGGGAAAAAAGAGAAACAGGAGGTGAGAAAAAGCAACACAGAACACCTTCACTCTTTAGCTGGGTCTAAAGACACATCCTGTTCGCCAAGCCCCCTTCACTTTGCTAATTAAAGACAAGAATTAGAAAGACCACAATCAGGCTTTACTCATGTGTCTTCCAGCTAGGATTGGGATTTAATGAGGGGAGAGGTCAAGAGTCAAGACAAAACTCTAAGATTCCTTTCTAATCCTAATTAAAAGCAGACTTTTAAACCATTCCCTTGTTTCAAACTAATCCAAGCTGCCTCTCTCACAGGCTGAGTGGAAAATGTTGCACTTTTATAAACAGAATGAAAATGGACTTTTTTCCATAACAGTGAATAAAAGAAATAAACACAAAGTAAAAAAAAACCTACATTATGAACACACCCAAACAATTAAAGCCTGCTGTTACGCCAAGGGTCACTAAAACAAAATTATCTTTAAGAATTTACAAGTCACAGCTGGATTGTGAGAGGAATTCCATAAAGAAAAACACTAATAGGTCTTTTACGTGGTCTCGACTTGGGCCTAACCGGGTTGACCCGGCGCAAGTTCAGGGTCTTTACATTGGGTGGTCCCACCCACTTTCACCTCTGTTCTTAAAGCCTATTTGCTTACGTTTCAAGCGGACCAAGTAGAGTTAAAGATTGGACGTCAGCAGTTTGCAGCTCACTGATTGGCCRGAGAGAGATGTCAATCAGAGCGTCTCCGTCACAAGAATCAAACTGATCATTTTAGAACCTCAGTGGAAGAAAAAGGTGACCTTGATTCAGCCACTTTGTCAGAAAATGGTGACATTTATATACATTTTGTGGAAAGTTTTGGGCACCAGCTTAGACGGACCACGAACGTTGAGGCAGCACTCATATGGAAAACTACTGAGACCGTGACGGGCCGGGTCGGGCMGAATTAGGGCGAAGCCACTCATGCTTAGAGTGGACAATGTAAAAGCAGCTTAAGATCAAGTCTGAAGGCTTAACGGGGCCGCCTGTACGTAACTCACCGTATAGATTTATGTAGCGAATACAACTTTCAACCACTCGTGGGATAGCTTGTCCAGAGTCCTGCGGAGGCAAAAAACGCACAAAAGTCTATTTATTTCAAAGGTTTTTCTAATATAGTTTTATTACAAAAATACAAGCTAGAGCCATACCAGTTCCCTCATGTATGATAATGATGTAAGTTTAAATAATTGAAAGGTATTTTTTTATATTGTCCAATTAAATCAAAATTGAAAAATAATGCTTTTCAAGACATTTTTGAGGCGCCAGCGTTAATAATGTTATGTTAACATTTTTGTGTTTTTATGCATATTTGCCTAGAACAGTGTTTCCCAAACTTTTTATCTTCTGACCCACAAAATATCCATGGCAAAAACTTGTGACCCCAAATATTACTGGTTTGAGTACATGAACTTTGTTAATAACCCTAAAAACACAGGCTTTTTGACGATCTAAACACCTTGTAAACAAATATAAATACTTATTTATACTTAATTTGTGTTTTTGTAATAATTATAGGGAAAATATTACATCAGAAATTATTTTATAACCCTTTAAATTGATTTCTGGAGATCATCCATGGTGCTTCATGACCCATAATTGGGTCCCAAGACCAACTTTGGGAACCAAACTTTTCAGCTTTTGACCCACAAAATAACAGTAGCACAGACCTGTTCCCCCAGATATTTATGGATGATAAACATTTGTATCAGGTCAACAAAACATGGGCATAGTAACAATATTTTTTATACTACATTTATCCATTTTAAATATACTAACCTCACTCCTTTGTAACAACTAAGACAAAAATGTAATTAATTCATAAAATCTTTTCAGGACCCCATCTTGATGTTTCGGGACCCCACTTTGGGTCCCGACCCCAACTTTGGGAAACACTGGCCTAGAACACATGTGTTCTAGGCAAACATGTACGTAATCATCATCCCATGAGGACTAACAGTGGCTCTAACCGGTGATGCAACATGATGTCAAAAGTAAACATGCTCACACAATTCAAATAAAGGAGGAACATTTGGATACAAAGTGAAAGTATTTTTTTTTTCAGCTCTTCAGACAGACTGAGTTGACGTCATCTTATTTGTTTGTTCATCTCTTACTACAACTGGAGATTATGGTTTATAGAAAAACCTTCTCTAACTTTGAATAAATGTTGTCCGATACCATTTCAACAGTCCATTCGTGTTACTATTGTATCTGAATTCAACCATTTAAATGCAAGCTGTGTTTAATAAATGAGAGCTTATCTAAAGAGCCACACCTTAAATGTGGAGGTTAGATGAGAAGCTGTATAACCTCCTCTTAAGCACTTACAGCACTCTTGATCTGCTTTGATAAAAGCTGCATCTCCGTGCTGGACTGGCACTCCCTACAAGCTGCTAGTTATGCAGTTGTAATGGGCCCAAAAAAAAAAAAATCATCTAAAAAATCAACTAAAGTCGAGCTATGAGGGTTGATGCTGCTGGATGATGTAATGCAATGTTTTTTGTTTAAACACAAAACGCTGAGGTGGCAGCTTTTTGTCACATGAACTGACTCAAAGTCATGATGTTGAAGAAATTTATAGTTTTTACAGATTAGTACTGATGTTAAAAGCACAACACTACATTTTTAGGTTTTCCTTTTTATAATGGTTAATCTATAATGTGTTGATTGATATAGATTAGTTACATGTCCGAAATATCTATAACAACACATATTTATCCGTTATGAGAACATGTAGGGGAGAATTGTGTACGAATGCCTGTGATTCAGCCGTAGGTCAGTATGGGGCGAACGTGGGCATTGAAGACTCTGTATAAATGGATCATCTTTCTGGCTTTTCGGCAGTGTGTGGTTTCCTGTCAGATCCGAATGGCAATAAACCCCACTCCAGAATTCTGGTTTTGTATGGCTTTATCTCAACTAACAATCATATTATTTAACATTGGTGGTTTTCTATTGACTTCAGTCTTTGAACATGAATATTTCTTACAGTTTTTGGTGACCCCGACGTGATATAGTAGGAATTACTACAAAACAACTAAACTCAGTCTGTCAAAGCTGCTTTTAGAAGTCAGTAAACAACAACTAGACAAAAACATGAGGAGAAAATCTTGTTAATCCAGGAAAGGAGGAGGAAATGAGCAAAAAGCAAAGTCCCAAACCGCCTCAGAGTGTCTACCTGATGCCGAGTGTGTGAGTTCCGACGTCCGCGGCTACAGGTGAGAATTACAAGGAGCAGAGATGGAGAGACGGAGAAAGAAAGAGAAGGACAGAAAAAAACGAAAGATAAAGATCAAGATTAAGATCACCAAAGACCATGAAAACACCCTCATTCCCCCCTGTGCTGGCATCAAAACCCCAAAGTAAAGCATGTGATGTGGCCACCAGCGAGGGGCAGTGAGAGGCCGAGGGAGGGAGGCAGCACACCTTATCAGTCTGGCACCCCCCACCCCCCCACCCCCCCGACCAGCATTTATCCCGTTGTTGTCACTGGCCTCAGAGGATATCTCTGCCAGAGCGGCTCACAGACATGCCAGCTCAGCAGCGAGCCCGCGGTGCTGCTGACAGACACAAATATTTATCCCTCCGACTGCACCGCCTCGCCTCCCGCGACCCTCCCATCTATCAATGCCACCCTGCGCCTCAGACGCCGGCCGCCCGAGCCCACTGACTCACAGGAAATCTTTCCAGAATCCATCTTAGCACAAACATTTTTTGTTATTATTGATGGTTGACAATCAATCAAAGCTCAGATGCTTTGAGGGGAACCCACCGAAATAGTCAGAAAGTCAGAGCCAGACAGAAAAACAGGAGGAGAAAGAAATGTTCCCCAGTAGACTGTAAACCAGTACCTTGATAAATGACTCCAAATTGCCGTTAAACAATCTAAAATTCAAAATAGAGCGGGGTCTAGGCCGGCGGGTGCCGGTGTGGGTTTTGAACAGCCCATTGGGATGTCTAAAATACAAAGAGTTGGTTAGAAAAAGTAAACAATTCAGAGTTCTCCTAGCATATTTTTTTACTTAAATTGAATTGAACTAATCATAAAAACCTCCTCTTAACATAATAAAAACATATTTCCACTTTTCTCCACGACATGTCCCAGGGCACAGTGAAATGTCGGACCCACTGGGATCGCGGATACATGTCAGCATCCATCTGGTGACGGGCCCTGCAGCGAGCAGCGCGGTGACATAATGCWGTTTGACTTCTCCTGACCCGCAGGAATGAAGATTAAAAGAGTCCAGCTCTGCTCAGCCAAAGGGACAAAAACATTTAACTACAAAGTCCCGGTGAGCTTTTAAAAACTCTTTTTAACACAACAGAGAAGTTTTTTTTTCACTTCTAATTGAACTGACATTAAACTTATTTGACATGAGAACTAAGAAAACGACCTACCAGTGCAAACCACCTTGTAGTGAAGATCATAGTGTTAATTCCTAATAATAGGGCAGCAAAATATAATTGCCCCTCAYAAAACAACAAATCAAAGGATAGTTTGACATTTCAGTAAAACATAAATCACACTTCAATCAKCACTGACATCCCAGAAATAGTTTAAAAACAGACTTTAAAAGCTGCTGTAATGTTATCCTGTTATTTGTAAGTGACAGTTTGAATTTTTGGGTTTATCATTTGACAATTACCTAAAGACAATTTTTACACCAGAAGTGACCAAAATTGAACAGCAATTACTAAAATCTGTTTTTAGACCAAATTCTTACAGGACATTTGTTTGGCTCCATAATATTATAAAAATCACATGACATAGACATATTTGGCCTCCTTTTCAACCACGATTAAATCATTTAAGATTTGTTTCACTCAATGTGAAAATTTATTTTCACATTTTTAATTTTAGAATTTATTGTGATAGTTTGGAAGTATGATGTTTCTATACGATATGTATATTTTGCTGTCTTGTTGACATTGTTGTTCTTAATAATGTTCTACAAAAAAGGCTTCCTTTTCACGTACAGACAAGTATATTTCCTCCCAAAATGTCTGACAGTTGAGTTAGTTCTGACTTCAGAATAGGGCTGCCATGATTAGTCGACTAATCACAATTATCGTCAACTATTAAAATCCTCTACTAATTTAAAGGCACAGTGTGTAGGATTTTGTCAATTCTTTTAGCCGAAACAGAGATAATCACTAATGACAATAATAAAAAACATGTCTAATCATTGCAGACAAAGACCTTGTTTTATTATTTTTACCTTATAAAAAGCTGTTTATATCTCCATGGTCGCGGGTCGCCACTACAGGCAGCCGCCATCTTGCACCGTCATCTTGTCTACGAAGGCACATGAAGGACAAACTGCGGTGGCGGCGTCAAAAACGGTTTTAGTTGTAATACTATAAATGTAATATTTGTTGTCTGTCATTGTAGCTGGGATAATTTTACTTATTAAAGCTCATAATCTTACCASTTGAAACATCACTAGCCCTGAAGCTGCTGGTAGACATCGCGGTTGGAATTATCAAAGGTTTTTGACACCTGAGAGACACCGTAGCAACTCCTTTGTGTTTGGAAGCGGGGGTGGGGGTGGGGGGAGGACCAGGGAGGGTGATTCAACCACTCAACCACTAGATGTCGCTGAAAACAACAAATCCTACACRCTGTRCCTTTAATAGTTGATGCATCGTTTTATTTCTAACCTTTGTTTTTCTCTCCAAACTGCAAATTACTTATCGGTAATTAGTCGACTATAAAAAAAATACAAAGTTAGRAAAAAAATGACGTATTGACTATTAAATTACCCCGGATTTATACTACATGCGTCTCCGCTCTGCTGTGCTGCGCAGGTCGCAGCTGTTCGTTTGTGTCTCAATTTATACAGACTCCGCTCTGCTCCGGTCCAACACACAGAGGATGGAGGGTGTGCAGGAAGGAGATTGCACGATAAATTCAGTGATAAATGTGGAAGTCACAGCACAAAATAATCAATTCTGTGAAAGACGAACTCCAAACACAGCTGAAAACATTGATGTAAAAGCTTTTGATATCTATGTTGAAACTGTATCGCTGTYGTCTTTCTGAAACTTCTGATTTCAAAATAAAATCTACGTGTATCGTGTGTGTACACAYATGCTTCATGCTATGTTTCCATCTGCTTCCCAAACAGAACGATATATTCTGAAAGCATTTGTGTAAAAATATATCCATATATTTWTTAATATAGCTGCAATTTCGACATTATTCCGACAAATTATCCCGCCTAAAAGTGTCTTATTTTGAAAATACGGATGTGTTGTGTTCTTTTCCTGTTGGTCCRACGTAATCTTTAAAAACTGATTCCAGCGCAGCTCCGGCATCCGGCAAAAATAGGATCTGTTCTAATTTTGCCGAATCACCGTSCGCTCACCGCCGCCGTGCGCAGCCAGTGTAAACACTCTCATTGATTATAATGGGTGCGTATTTGCTGCGGAGGTCGGATCRGACCGCAGCGGAGCCAGAACGCATGTAGTGTAAATTAGAGGTTAGTCGTTGGCGATTTTAATAGTTGACGCAATCGAGACTAGTCGACTAATCGTGGCAGCCCTACTTCAGAATCACAAGTATCTGTTTTCAAAGCTACAAATAGGTGCAAATTTTCTAATATTTGGGAGTTTTCATTATTTGCTACATGTCCATTTTAGGTTAGTTTTACATAACAGCAAGTTCTATCAACTTTGCTTTGGTTTCATTTTTCAACCAGTAATGTGGAAATGTGACCTAAACGTGACGAAGTTGAAACATTTTACACGTTTCTGTCATGACTGAAGGTCTGGGTGGGTAACGTGATTTAATACGGATACGTGTGCGGATGTGCCAGTGTGTATTTTTACCTTGTGGTCATGTAGTCAGCTCTGTGGCCTACAGCAAGAACAAAAAAAAAAGAGAAAGAGACATGTGAGGCTGGAGTTAGTTGGGTGGACAAGCCAGGACCTGTCTCTGAGGTCCCTGCGGTAAACTGTGCATACGGCTAGTCAAGCATTTGAAGTCTGCCATCTGTCTACAGCTGCTGGCCCCTTGAGCAAAACCTATCCAACRCATTCACATTTGCACATATGCATGCACACATTTCTCTCTGCTTCATACAATTACAGCACACACACAAAAATAAAATAAAAAATAAAAAAAACACAGGACATAGTTGCACGGTAAAGTACCCAGGCTGAATAATTACAGGACTTCACAGGGCTAAAACCTTTGACAAGTAAAGTAAAATCACAGAAAAATGTTTAAAAATATTTTGCGAACCYGTAGACGGTTCAAAAGCAGGGYCGGCTGCTCCTAACAACAGAGAATAACCTGCCTCTTGTCTGACTCATACTTCTCTTTGATTATAATAGCGTGAGAAACAGCAGGGCATTTCTCATCATCGTCAGCTCGTGCCTTGATTGCTCATTAAGTGGACAATTTTAYAAAGACCACCAAGGTTATTATAATGACTGAGCTGAAATCCCACCAGCRTAGAACAAGGCGAGCCCGCTGCAATGACCACCACCCATCTAATACACGGCAGTCCGTCAAAGGAGGAGAAAATCATTCGCTAAGACGGATAATACACAATCCCCCCTCAGCTGGCTGGCCTAACTGGATAAAACCCAGATTACTATCAAATAATTTTCACAAGTGGGGAAAAAAAGAAAATGAAAGTTTTTTTTTCTCCACAGAAAATGYATAAACATTAGAGTCCAAACACAGGAAATAAGACTAAAATCAATAATCCATTATTTGTTTAGTGTTGATAAGAGTTAATGYGTTTCCAGGAAATAATGAAAACACAAGAAAGCAAAAAGCAGTTTGAGCTACAAGAAAAAAAGGAATAATAAATAAAGAAAGCATACCGTCACCAAGTGTCTTCTTCAGCAAGTCGTGTTTGGCCTGCAGTTTGGAGATGAGATTACTGCCCTCCAGAAACTCACGGAATTTCTGTGGAGAATTGAGAGTAATTACACGGCGGCCCTGAGTGCCAGCCAGAGAGCCCGCTCTCAAGACAGTAATCAATGATAAGGCAGCCAAGGGCAAGGGACACACTGAAAGCCTTTTTAAAGCCCTTATCAGAGCGTGTCCATCTTCCAACTGGACCAAGATAGCAGTTTGCTTCATAAAATGGAAATATTTAGGGAGAGTAAGCCCTCTGCCCACTGATTAGAGATTTCATAAGGGCTTCATGTGCGTGATAAAGAGCCGTAAGAGAGCATTTATAGAGAAAAAAAATGCTCTGACTTCTGGTTGTCAGATTAATTTTAGAGAATATAATCAGAGGAAGAACATGCATTTTCCATTTCTTTTTACAAGCAAAGGCATCAGARATACTTATTATTAAATAAGTGATGTCATCCTACTTCATCCTTTCCTGACACAGCTTTTCTGAAACTCACCATGAAGTAAAACTGCTCCGTCTCCTGCTGGTTGGCCCTTCTTTTGGCAATGCTGGGCTTGCTGAGGTACGTCTCTGACACGGTGGACTTGACCGACTCGGTGGACCGGCTGTGGTGGAAACACTCGGACACGTCGTAGTCTTCGATGGTGACCATGTCCTGGATGGTGGTCAGAGTGGCCTCAGATGTTTTTTTGACCTGTTGCGAAGGGGAGTCGAAGACAGAAAGCCACACCTCATCACCATCACCTGCTTGTTTCACCCGCTCTCGTAAAAAACACACACACACACACACACTTTCCATCTCCTGACACTGAAAAATTCAGGTGCTTTCCAACAAGAAGTGCAGTCCTTGAAATTCCACAGGCTGTTGAACACGACTCCCAGCCAAAGCAATCAATTTGCATGCACTCAGAGGGGCCGGAGGTGAGCAGTGCTGGCTGGAGACGGTACATTCACTCGCAGGCTTTAAAGATTCATTTCCATAACTGCCTCTACCCCCGTCAACTTTGCTTCTCCAAAAAGCATCAAATATATCAGGACCGAGCTAAGTGCGCCCTGTCCAGCTCATAGGACAGAACGTTCAATCTGTCCAAAAAAGCTCCAGGCCACGGCTGTGGCTTCAACGTGGTGACACGAAATCATATCTGACTGTCAGAGGGTCCAGCTTGGCGCCTGAGCGTTAGCCGCTTAGTTTGATTCGTTCATTGAAACGAAATATTGAAAAACACAGAAAAACAGAGGTCGAACTCAAGAGACAAGCTGCGACTTTGTCCAAYTGAAAAGACAAGACCCCCCACCCCCAAAAAAAKTAGGTGGTCTAATCGTGAAGAATGYGAATAACAATACTAGCGCATGATTATGTTGAGCGACAGCATGATTACAGCAGGTGATTAGACCCAGGGGTCAGGACTGTTCCTACTTATGTTCAAACCATCAGAGTAATTCCCTGACATGGATTTGACAAAATTACAAGTAAAACAGACCTGTTTGATATAAGGCTTTTAACAAAGACAGGAGGAATAAGAACAGAAAGAAAGAAAAAACTAAGACAGAGATTGGGGGAATGACAGAGTATATGAGTCACTGGTGCAGAAAAGCTGCAGAGGAAAAGAAGCCCTGCAGCTGTGGAAACATTAGCATCCACCTTTCTGGAAAAATCCAGCCAGTACACCTTWGAGTGCTTAATGAGGAAATTCAGGTAAACAATTAGGTGCTAWGACTCCTTGTTTTATTACTTCCAGAGATAAGGGGGAATACTGAGGACAACCAAAGCTGGAGTTTCATTTAGTATTTTTTAAAAAAGGGGGAAATTGGCCTCTGTCTCTTTAAGAACCTCCTACTCTTTCTGACACTCCCACTTCACCACAACAAAGCTTCAGGGAGGGGTGCTCTGTGGGGCGGGAGTTCAGCTGCAGACTGAGCTCCAGGGAGGAGCTTTGCATAAATAGGCGGCGCTTTGTACTGGCAAGCATTTAGACAGCTCCACGTGGCTACCACAGGAGGTTCAAGGATGTGTTACGTGTCTGGCAGATTTGTTTTCTTCCTCCTCTTTCTTTTCTCTATTTTCAGNATTTAGTATTTTTTAAAAAAGGGGGAAATTGGCCTCTGTCTCTTTAAGAACCTCCTACTCTTTCTGACACTCCCACTTCACCACAACAAAGCTTCGGGGAGGGGTGCTCTGTGGGGCGGGAGTTCAGCTGCAGACTGAGCTCCAGGGAGGAGCTTTGCATAAAATAGGCAGAGCTTTGTACTGGCAAGCGTTTAGACAGCTCCACATGGCTACCACAGGAGGTTCAAGGATGTCAAAAGTTTTACTGGCGATTAATTGCACACAATATGATTTTGCCCAACCCTAATATWCACACAGCAAACTGCAACATGGTGTAATGACTAAAATGCAACAAAAAGAGGAAGGAGATGAAGGAATTTGTTAGTCATTTAGACACTGATTTGAAAGCAACACATCATTTTCKTAGTTTTCCTTTTTAAGGGTTGACTTTTATAATCTATTGTTATGTCTTGATTAAAAAAGGTTTAGATACATGCCTGAAACATCATGACAACACATAATAAAACCATTTATAATAAACATTAGGAGAGCATTGCTGTTCAGAGTGTCTGCGATTCAGCCATAGGCCTGTAGTGGGCGTACCAGGCACTGAAGACCTGTGTATTTATGGACCGGAACTTACGGTTTGGGACAGCGCTGCTCTGCTTGCTTCAGCTGTAAGCAATAAAGCTTCACTCAGAACCAGATCTGGGGTTGTATGGTCCATTGTCTTCACATTTTCATCTATTCAACATGGATGTGGTTTCGTCACGATTTCAGTTAAGAAACACAAAATATTCTTAGAGAGTTCTACAATCCTAAAACATTTATTTTCTTAAATTAAAATAAAAAATAAACTTTTTAAAGTCTTAAGCTACGTCCTTAGTATAAGTAATTTAYTATGACACAGATGAGTCACTAGTTACACATTTTTCAAGTGTGTTTGGGATTCCTCTTCCCCTGGCAGCCTCATCCCGAGTGGCCCCACTGGAAGCAAACGTTCCAGCTGTCATTTTTAAGACTGGAGCCATGCATGCGAGAGAATCGCTCCCAGTGCAAAAGCTGTTGGGTTTATCCATTATTCAGCAGACGAATAGTTACCAGTGTACACTGCTGGGCTCAATTACAACTGAGCTCTTGGAGAAATGGGCTGGATGTGCCCTTCATACCCTGCAGCTGCACAACAGACCCGAACAAAGAGCCTCTGGATGGAGTTAAGTTTACTTTTCCCACTCARCTACTTGAAAGAGTTCAATATTAACATTTCACCACTGGTAGTTTTAGCAGAGTTTATATCACCTCTTTTTTTCTACCTTTTGTAAAGACAAAATAAGTCCACTCACCACAAATGATGGTAACTGTCTAGGTCAGCAGTAACCAATCACTTATTTATTATAATATCTATCAACACATCTCAGAAGCCAGACTGCTGTCCAACAGCTTTCAGAGCCTGCAGTAAGTGTGTAATCTGGTGAACATCAAGCTGGGAGCTCACAGGCGAGCTTTGATGTGTCTCCCTGATATCTATGTGGAGGAAAAACAAAGGCTTCCTGCAACGCGGTTCGATTCCCCAAGTTTGGTGTGAAACATTTTAAGAATACCATCTCCTCCTGCTTGTTTATTTGCTCAGAAGACGACAGAAGACAGACACCACAGAGGGAAAATTAAGTCTGTGCGAGATGTGGGTCATTCAGAGGCAAATGAGATTTAAATGGGAAACTAATTATGTCCTCAAAGAAATAACTTTGTTGGTGGATTGAACTGTCTGGCAGCGAGGCAAGCAGGGGGTGTGTTGTCTTCAAATTCACAAAAAAATGACTTAAATCCTTTGTATTTCACCCCCCCTCACCCACTAGTGATGCTGTTATTCAGCATGAATCCTCTCACAGTTCCACAGAACTCAAAGAGGTTTGAGGATGCAGCTGCGCTCCGTTTCTAAAGCCCTGCCCTGTCGCGTTTCCTTTCCAGATCATCCAACTCTTTTTCTCTTTCATATATTTGACAACAGAGTTTGTGAATTACTTTGAAAGTTCAGTTTTCAAGGATGTATCTGGCTCCCTGCACACAGGAAAACAGGACATCTGCTGATCCTTACATGATGCTTTACTGCCCTCCAGTTCTGACCCACCACCTCCAGTTTTGACCCACCAGGACGTCCGCCTCATCAAGGCAGACAGACAAGGACGAGCTCCCACCAAAACACACACACACACACACACACACACACACACACACACACACACACACACACACACACACACACACA